AGGCACACACCCATCGCAGGATGTATACAATGCCCAGACTCATGTCACCCGGTTGTCAACCAGACAGTCACGGATGGGTGGGTAGTTTAGTATAATGCGCACAGAGACGTGTAATATGTACGTTTAAAACCATGATGTTTTTTGTTATTTGGGTCCATGTTATTTTCAGAAAAAATGTCTGGGATGTGGAAGCCTCCAGTACATTTTCTTTCTCATTTTCGTATAAAAACTAGTGGCTAAATATCAAAAAGGAAAGAGTGAGTGAGTGAGTTTAGTTTGACGTCGCACTCAGCAATATTCCAGCTATATGGCGGCGGTCTGTAAATAATCGAGTCTGGACCAGACAACCCAGTGATCAACAGCATGAGCATCGATCTACGCAATTGGGAACCGATGACATGTGTCAACCAAGTCAGCGAGCCTGACCCCCCGATCCCGTTAGTCGCCTCTTACGACAAGCATGGGTTACTGAAGATCAATTCTAACCCGGATCTTCACGGGTACAAAGAGGAAAGAAATGAATTTTCGATGGTAATGTATTTCATACGCGTATCATGGTCGTGATGGGGACCTAAACTTGACAATGTATTGACGTCTAATATCAGCCTAGTAACGTTTTGATAGCGTTTGATTTTTTCGTAACACATGTTATATTTGGGATTACACTTTCTCAGTAAAGAACAGATTCTCGTACCTTTGTTAGGTTGAGTCACAAGCGGAATATCAGGCACCTAATCCGCAGCATACAAAGCCAGCCTTCGAACTGGGTCGCACTGCGATGGCTGAGTGGGTTAGATGGCTAACAAAAGTACTAGAATCTGTACTCTACTGAGAGAAAGTGTAAACCCAAATATAACATATGTTCATTTGACCACATTCTAAATGGCATTGTGTATTCATGTTTTCCAGTTTTCCAAGTGTATATTTTCATCTGTCCGATAAGTTGTGTTTCATCATTGTGACTGAAATCAGGCACTATACCCCGACACGATACCACTATACGTGCATGGAAGTCTGATACAGCCACCTAGGGCCCCATCAGATGACCGCTCAGTAAACTTTGGCCGGACTATGCTTGTAGACATAGGATTTCCTTGTCAACACCAACCACTGATCACAGGTTTACTATTGGTCACCATGTAGACCCTCAATGGAAATTACACCAGTGTTGTCATATCGGCAACCTGTAGTTCAACAAACCTGCCTAGAGATGCTGCAACCTAGAGGTGAGAAGCCAGCGAAACACGTTGTATCTGATGACTAGACTTACACAAGTCTCTAAGGTAATAATCTATGGTTTAAATGATCATTTCTAAAATATATATACAACAGACTGACGTTTGTTGTCCACGTATCTAGACATGCCTCTTTAAAAGATAGAATTACTATACATCCATGGGCTAAGCATTCAGTACAGCCTTGGAGTAAGGCTAGGCTAACCCAGTATGCTCAGGTTTCCACGTATCTAGACATGCCTCTTTAAAGGATAGAATTACTATACATCCATGGGCTTAGCATTCAGTACAGCCTTGGAGCAAGGCTATCTGGTGACACACAAGAGCGCATGTTTACATATTACTGAATGTCAGTTTGTGTGAGCTACTTTTCACCTTTCGCAGTAAGTGCATGAAGGATTTGGAGTCTGTAAAAACTTCGTACTGCACTCTTTCAATTAAAGGGGTAACTACTTTCCTCAACGTCGTCGTATTGAATCCCCCGAGCTGACACAAGGTTGGGCATTCATGTATATCTTCAAAGGCGTAAAACGTCTCAAGTCCCGCTAGTGTATGTCTGCATGTAAAATACTGCAGTCACATAGACTGCAAATCGATGCCTACTTAAGAAGAGAGGAGTTAAAATTGTCGTAAAGTCATACAAATGTAAGCCAACTTAAGAAGAGAGGAGTTAAAATTGTCGTAAAGTCATACAAATGTAAGCCAACTTAAGAAGAGAGGAGTTAAAATTGTCGTAAAGTCATACAAATGTAAGCCAACTTAAGAAGAGAGGAGTTAAAATTGTCGTAAAGTCATACAAATGTAAGCCAACTTAAGAAGAGAGGAGTTAAAATTGTCGTAAAGTCATACAAATGTAAGCCAATACAAATGTAGGAGCCAACTTAAGAAGAGAGGAGTTAAAATTGTCGTAAAGTCATACAAATGTGCCAACTTAAGAAGAGAGGAGTTAAAATTGTCGTAAAGTCATACAAATGTAAGCCAACTTAAGAAGAGAGGAGTTAAAATTCTCGTAAAGTCATACAAATGTAAGCCAACTTAAGAAGAGAGGAGTTAAAATTGTCGTAAAGTCATACAAATGTAAGCCAACTTAAGAAGAGAGGAGTTAAAATTCTCGTAAAGTCATACAAATGTGAACCTACTTTAAAGCAGTTATAATAATATAATATAATAGTTGTAATAATCGTAACGCTGCGCTATTGTAAGCCTGTATTAGTGAGTGAGTGAGTTAGTTTTACACCGCTTTTAGCACTATCACGGCTGGGGACCACGGCTTTACACATTGTACCCATGTGAGGAATCGAACCCGGGTCTTCGGCGTGACTAGCGAACGCTTTAACCACTAGGCTACCCCTGTTACACAACTGTAAGCGTTTATGAAAATTATAGCGGTTTCAAAATTCAGACCATCGCACTATTGTTAGACTATGTTATAAAAGTATAGCAGTTAAAAAACGCAACATTTTTGTTAGCCTGTATCTAAACACAGGAGTTGTAGTGATAAGCCTATATCAATGAATGGCAGTTCAAGGCTGCTGCTATGGGTTATGTTGAGTTGGGTTTTACGTCGCATCGGCATTATTTTATCCATTTAGCGACGAGATCAAGTAATTCATTCATAAGCATTCCAAGTACAAAGTCCATGTTAATTTGATTACATTATTATTTAAAAACAGAAAATGTCATACCAAATTTAGAAGTGAGCAATTCGCCATTCGCATTACTATATTACAATTCATGATACAGGTCAACTTCCCTCAGGTAGTTAACAATGAGATGTCCGCTCACGCGGGAAAATAAGATCTTCAGGTTTCTCGCATCATAATGTGAATCCCTTCGAAAAGTCCACACAGTCAAGCAGAATATGCTTGATATCGTGAACACTTCATGGCAAGAGACACACAGGGGAGGTCCATCCCCATCCGTGTTCAGGAGATAGTCATGAGTAAACCGACTGTGGCCAATACGACATCGTCGTAAAATCACCTCATCACGTCTTGACTGACAACCCAAGTAGGTATAACCAATTTTGGGTTTCAAGTTTATTTCTTCCTACTTGGGTGTCCCACCTTTTTGCTGCTGCTGTGGTATATTTTAACCTGGAATCGGACAGAGCGTAGTCCCGAAACCCTAAACAAAAAGTACGTATTAGTGAAATCCCTACACAGAGTTAGATATGGAAACGTTGCACTAGTTCAAATCATATCATTTAATGCATGGAATAAAGGCTGCACAAGGTCATTTTGCTCTTAACACTGAACGATACATGCAAAGATTGCATACGTATGGCAGTCACAAATGTCGATAGATGAAAACAGTTAGGTCATAGTGACCCATTCTATTTCATTATTTATCATGACAAGTCCTGTATATTGCACCCATTCAGTAATGACCTGTCTATCTGTTACGTCACAGGGGACCTATTGAGGTTGACGAGACAACGAACCGTCTATGTAACTTTAAACCGCGATAATTCGTGCCCGATGCAATGGAGCATTGTCACCTTGAAATCGATATGGTTTGTTGTTGAAGTGCCGAGCTATAACGGGCCAGAGGTTGTCTTCAGGTATTTCACGATACTTGACAGCATTAATATTACCATTAACACGACACAAGGTGCCAACACCGTACCAAGTTAAAGAACCCCAGATCATAACTGATAACCTGGCCTGTTTCGAGTGAATCATGCATTCGGGACGATAGGCTTCATGCGCACTTCTCCAAACGAAAATTCTTCCATTTTGACCAATAACTACCTGCGATTCATCACTGAATATCACCTGTTTCCACTGATTTTGTGCTGTCCAAATTCTCCTTTCCAAACACCAGTGAAGTCGTTTCCTTCTTTTCACTTCCTTCACAACAAGGCGCTTTCTAATAACCCGACGAAAAACACCATTCCGATGCAAAACTCTTTGAATTGTTCTACTGTTTACTTGTTGATGTTGACCAACATTATAATCATGGGTAATGTCTCTTAGAATGTTAAATCTATTCTTGCGGACTCCTCAACAAAACATGTTCACTACGAATACTCACTTTTTTTCGGCCTACCACTTCGTCGGCTGTTTTCAACATTACCACGATTCAAATATGTTTTCCAAACATACCGAATTGTTGATCCAACCATTACCCACAATTCCTTGCACACTGTCCAATGATTCCCTGTCAAAATGGCATCGCTATCAAAAGCACCTGAAATGATCACCTCAGTAGCATCTGACTGGAAGAAAGGAAACGAAGAAAAGATTTCAGCACCGATGAAGAAAGTGTAATTCAGTCAATGTATCAAGAAAATGCTGAAATTTTAAGTAAAAAATTCAGCAGTGAGGTTACAAATAATGCCAAGGCTGCCATCTTGCAAAAGATAACAGATGTGGTAAACAACAAAGGCGTCTGCTGTCCTGATGTAGAGGTGCAGGTGAAGGAAAAATGGGGAAACATGGCCCAGAAAGCTAAAAAGCCATTTACTGACTACCGAATGCAGCAAAGGAAGACTGGGGTGGACAATTCAATGAACAAAACAATTCTTTTAAATATATGTGCATATACATTTTATAAAATCATTTTCATTAATATTATCAGTTTTACTTATAAGGTTGAATTAAATCGCTGTTCATTAACATGTTCATATGAAACTGCAATATTAGTCTCAATGCATAACGGTGCTTTGAACACCCGGGCCCAGAAGGCGTAAACAATGGATGACGTCCTACCGTCGAGGGTGAGGCGGACTGGTCGTGAATGGTGGTTACGATGAGGCCCTGCCTCACGGTGTGTCACCGTACACAGGCGGCGGAACCTTGTTACAAGTATGGCTAACTACGACGCTATCCCCCGGAACGCTGACCCCGAAACCCACTCTGACGTACATACCATTACTTAGCTCACCTGCTCACACGGGTAGGTATTATTACGTTGCATAACTCACACACAACAGACATCGTGCTCCTTCAATGGTATCCATTAAACACTGACAAATCTACGACTTAGCATTTTAAACTCTTCATCATTCACACAGGTAGATATGCATACGTTGCATAAATTCCAATCCTCTTATGTAATTCGATGTTATCTAAATGAATGTTACATAAGGTGTCCCACTGAATGTGTGATCGAGCTATATAGACAGGTCACAATGCGTATGCATATGTTGCATTTGAGAGAATGTGAACTACCTCACTGAAATGTGAAGCACTTTAACGTAATAATCACTACCGTATCTGTCTGCGAACTTGTCACTCATGAGTTAAATGACAAAATTCATTGATTCCGATATGTCACGTCCCATTTATTGAACCCCTGGCGTACGGCGGCGGCTGAGGTCCTGTTGAGGTTGTAAAATCAAGACAATGGTGTCCATTAAAACATATGCCAAGTCGTGTAAATAAGTACGTTTTTAATTAGGCTGAAAGGTTTGTGTGACAATGAACAAAATTTGTGTATGAATAACTTTGTTATAAACGGAAATTGAAGTTTTATTAGGTAGAGGGGCAAACAAACTATAAGTGTTTTAAACAAAATTATAGAACAGAAGACTATGTTTTAAGGAACCTTCAAGGGGTTACAGGTCGGCTCCTGCCAAGTTTAGGCGTGGTGTCCAAGTTAAAATTGAAACAGGTCGCTATGAAGGCATCCCTGTACAAAATAGAAATTGTTTTTATTGTAAAGACTGTGTAGAAGATAAGGTTTGTTTCAGTGCGTATTATATGATGATATCAGGGAATCTCTTTTTAATGAATGCATTGTTATCTATCTATCTATCTTTATGTAATAATCACTACTGTAGCTGTATCTGCGAGCTTGTCACTCATGAGTTAAATGTCAAGGTTCATTGGTTACATATGTCATCCCATTTATTGAACTCTTAGCGTACTGAGACAGCTGAGGTCCTGTTGAGGTTGTAAAATCCTAGTCACGAGACGATGCAATAACTGGGTTATCATCGCTTGTTTCAGTCGCATCAAAATCAGTAGTTACGAAACGAACAGGTCCTAGAGATATGCACAGTCTCTGTTCTACAGTGTTGAGGTTGGGAAGTGTATACATGCCATCAACTCACAGGAAATATGCTTCATCTCTCATTTATTATGTGATCCGTGAAGAACCGGGTTAGAATTGATCTTCAGTAGCTCATGTTTGTCGTAAGAGGCGACGAATGGGATTGGGTGGACAAGCTCGGCGACTTGGTTGACACACAATTCATAACTAACGACAGATTAACTGTTATTATTAAATGATATTTATATAGCGCATATATCCACGCAACTACAAAGTAGTGCCATCCTCGATAATCTCCAGGGTATACGTTATGATCACTCTCCACTATACCTTGCATGCATCCACGGCTTGGCCCGATAATTATATTACCTCCCTTTGCTGGCTTTTTATCCAATCAGATGTCTACGCTGGGAAGTTGAGCGAACCAATCACAACTCACTTTCGCTTCTTAAATTATCTAACCGTTTAAACTTGGCAACACAACTGATGCAGAGGGTACTCTGAATGACTGACTGACTGACTGAGTTTAGTTTTACGCCGCTTTTAGCAATATTCCAGCAATATCACGGCGGGGGACACCAGAAATGGGCTTAACACATTGTGCCCATGTGGTGAATCGCACTAGGCTACCCCACCGCCCCGTACTCTAAATGAGGTAGAAGGATTTGTTTCATATACTTTTTTAAAATCTGTCAATGTTTAGATCTGTCGATTTGTATGATTTCCCCAAAAATATGAGTGGCACTGCGAACAAACCTTGGCGACTGCGACCGCTATCTTTGTTGACACTGGCAAGCTCGGATGTAACGGCGGCTTAGCTGATTGGCTACTCTGAGAATGCGGAGCCAGCCAAGGGAGGTAATAAAATTATCGGGCCAAACCGTGGTGACATCATCGAGGATGAACTAGTACATGCTCAAGGCGCTGGTATTTTTCCATCGATCGTTGGAGGTCACTCTCAACGGTACATCGTATTTTCAATCTCAACTCCCTGGGGAGTATACAACTCTTGCAACCACTAAGCGCACTGAGTGGCTTTCCCATCATTACGAGGTACCCATTCACATCTGGGTGGACTGGGACACATAGTCACAGTACTTTGTCCTAGTTTACTGCACGTTGGTGTACCCGCAATTAGGTGTTTGCACGTATTCATGTGGTCACCATCTGATCATATACCAACGGATTCATGGGTTCTTTTAAGTGCACAGGGTTGTATACTGTACACTGGGGGTTGTGACAACACTGAAATAGTCTCCAAGATTTTTACACCCGTTCACAGGTGGGCTCGATCCCGACACCTCAAGCTCGCTGGATCACTAGCCTGGAGCCTTAGCCAGCTCGCCCCCATGTCCGAGTGAATGAGTGAGTGAGTGGGGTTTTACTCAGCTTTATCGTAATATTCCAACAATATCAAGGCGGGGAACACCAGAAACGGACTTCACACATTGAAGTAACCGGTTTAAATAACCACTAAGCTACCTAGCTTACCGCCCCGCTGCCCAAAGTGGAGGAATGACGTAAATAATAGCTCTTGGTAAATGCTTACAATAATGATTCATGAGAGAATGAAAATCCATAAGAATTCCATAATGTTTCGAATATATAATTAATTCACATTAAAGAAAGGCAATGACCCTGTACTGAAAAACGTCACTGAAAGTAGTCTATCGTTCAGATGACGTGATGTAAGCTATTCAGTACGTCATGAACAATGGATGACTCTATGACGTCACATGGCTTCAACTGGCCAATCGACAATCAGAATGGCTAAAATAAACACGTGCAAATATCTGAAACGTATCCAACACAATCATCCTACCGTTATGAGTAAAGCATACGTTGAAATTATTGTACAAGCATAGGCCCTTATGTGAAACACTAATTTGTGAAACAAGAGTTCTTTTCATTCTTTTTTCAATCTGCAGCGAGTTACACGAGTTTCGTAAAGTCCTTACAACAAAAATCCGAGTGTAGCAATTACTTCATCCCTTATCATTTCATAATCTTTTGGAAAAACAACTGATCACGACCGCCGTCTTAGAAAACCTCAGTTGTCGAAAGACGTCAACAATCTTCAGTTATGACGTCGTTACTGGTGTCACCTCATTCAGACCTTACGTCACAAAGAAACTGGAATGACGTCAACAATGCCACACAGAAGACGTGAACAATATACTAGTACAGGCTATTACATGACAGTTTTCCTTTCGCCAGTCAGATCAGCATATCAGAACGAGGGCAGGAGGCCCTAGGGGCTGGTATGATAGTCGATGGCTGATATGACTGGCGACAGGGAAACTGTCATATCATAACCTTTTTATCATATCACACTTCTGTAAATATTGAAACAGTACAAAAAACCCGAGCTGAAGTACTTTATGATAAGTTTCAAATCACCTTCAGTTTTTCTTACGGCGGTGACATTCTTCATACTGTCGACGAATGACAAAGTATCCGTTTCATTGGAGAACCGGTCGTGTCCTGCATTCCTCGTGTCATCTGTGTTTTCATTATTTAAAATTTCGTCTAACTCCATGAATCTGCCGGCAAGAGCATCCAAAACATCGTCGCCATGATTAGAACTCACACTTCCACCATTTCTTGATGGACAGCAACTCGAGCAGACGACGCAAGGGACGTAACTCTAAAACAAACTAGGCTCCGTCTATTAAAGTTTCGAGCGTTTCCGTGTATTCATTCCGTACAAGTTTAGTAGTCAGGCAATACGGCTGATATGGATTTTCGGCGGGCTGATATGGCTGGTATCCACTTTGGACCTGGTGGTCAATATGGACATGTACTGACAGCCAGTATTGCACGTTCAAAATGGTCCATATTATTCATAGGTATATGATAAATTGGTGTATAGGAACTATATACACCAATTTATCATATACCTAGTGGAAATACGATTTTAATCATTTGTTTATAATCATATGGGCAATAAACATGCATACCCATGGTGTAGTATCAGCGCATAGGTTTTCTACACGTCTCTACTTTAACTGTGAATACTGGTGCTGTGGGGCTGTTGTTCAAGATGGTCTGGACTAGAGCTGACTAGAATACCACGCCCCTCTCCTGATATAAGCAATAGTAGGTGAGCATAGTTTTACACTGCTTTTAGCACGCCGAAGACCCGGGTTCGATTCCCCATATGGGTGCAATGTGTGAAGCCCATTTCTGGTGTCCCCCGCCGTGATATTGCTGGAATGTTGTTAAAAGCGGCGTAAAACTAAACCCATTCACTTCCCTTGCGGAATTCTGCTACGATTTGGTTAACCTTCATCCTCTCGATGAGATATACCACTTATGAATTTCCCAAAGGAGGAGCCCGTCCCTCTATCTTGCAGTGCCTGGCCAGGCGCGTAGCAAGCCATTTTTTTCGGGTAAGCCCAATAGATTGCAAAACTTTATATATAGATAGTATTGAGGGCTTGTCCAACCTTTTTACTTACAATCATGTGTAAGCCTGGGCTTTTTAATAATGGCAGCTACGCCCCTGCTGGCCAAATTTAACCGCCGACCCGTGACGCCTCATATACGTGTTGAATGGGAGGTACATGTAGGTCAGTACTCATTGGCCAGTCCATTCTATGGATGTTGTGTTGATGGAGGTAAGTTCTCACGACCCTGCATGCTCAGCACAGGCATATAGAAAGTTGTGCACTAGATCTTCTCCGTCTATAAAATTAAGATTTCATTATGCGTTTAAAATTCTCCACTTTTTTAACCTATCCCAATAAAAGTAGTGAGCAACCTGTGGGGGGATCTGTAGGCGTCGAAATACGGGACGACATGAATGCAGTGAGTGAGTGAGTTTGGTTTTACGCCACTTTTAGCAATATTCTAGCAATATCACTGCGGGGGACACCGGAATTGGGTTTCACACATTGTAC